TGCGTCACATCTGGTAGATCAGCTAGAAATATTAATTAATCACGCTAATCACTTTTACTGACCAGCATAGAATCATGTTTCAGTGACGGAAAGTGGGTTTCTCGTCATAAAAATTCTAGTCACATGATTTTTCTCAGGTGCCGATATATTCAAGAATAAAAATTCACATGTTTTCTGAGACTGCATAGCCTTGCAAATTTGTTAAGAAAAAATTTTATTATATACCGCTTTATTAGAACTTAATAAAAATTACATATATGAAATCTCTATTCTATGAATTTTTTTGGGTTGAAACTGTTACTACCATTTCACTAGAACTATGTTCACTATCTTCAGAGTCAGAACTATATAATATTTTGTGAATTGTACATGCGATGGCCATTCTCAAAGTCATTAACGCATGTATAAGCGAATATACAGCACTTGAAGAAGTCATATGCAATGGAATTGTTACTTTCTCTATTAAGCAGTACTTATAAATACCTGATTCTTTTTATATAGCATAAAGTTTTATAACATCACCTAAAATAAAAGCAACATAATTATTTACTATTGGTTATAATACAAGAGCAGGAGATATATTATGACTGAAAAAAGTAAAAATATAATGCATTACCTGCGATGTTAATAGCAAATATAATCAAATTCTGCCTTTTGGAAAATTGATTGAATATTCTTTTGAGCTTCGATAAAATCCTAGTAGTATCAATAGAATCCTTAGATAATCAAATTAATTTTTTATGATCTCGCCAGCGTTTATCTTGGCTGGAATTTGGCCTACCAGTTTCAAGATATACTATTTTGAGTTCTACATCTTTTTCTAATTGTGTTATAGTTATATAATCAGACTTTCGTGCAAACTTACGAGATTCTTTTCGTATAGTACTAGCTGAACTCTTCTCTTCACCCCTATTTAGGAAAATCATTAAATAAGAAAAAGCATGACAGGGGAGAAATATTTTATAGGTAAATACTAAGTGCTTACCATATATTATATACAACAGGATTTTCAGGCAAATCATTTATTACTATATTTATTAATGACGCGAGTACTTCACAGACGTATGATCCTTTATTAACCAATTTCTCTTTCTTTGTATAGGCTTCATACTTAGGTGATTTTCAAACTTTAAACCTAAAAAAGATCTCACATATTTATATTATTCATGAATAGTAAGCAAACACATAGAAGAAGACAGAATATAAGACGAAAAATAATAAACTTACAAAAATTCTAAAATTCGTTTTGTCATATCTTGAAGTCTTTTAGAATTATCTAACTATTTCCCAAATCCAACATCACGCAAATCCTTATCTTCATTAATCTTTGATTCTTCGTTCTGGATAAATTCTTTACAAGTGTCTAATATATCTTGATTCTGTTCTAACTTATATTTTTGAAATGGTTTCTTAAAAATATCACAAAATAACTCAGGAATGTTTATGAAAGGTTCTGATTTTATATTAAAGACTCCCGAACATATTGGATGATCAAATCTAAGATTTTCTACATTTATATTATTAAGTTCTATTTCTATCCTCTCACATAATTTTCTCATAACCGATGCTCTCATTCATAAGTTGTCCAACATCATATTTTAAACACCATAAATTTGCATTTGCATTATCAGGCCACGTCTCAGCATCAATTACCAGAGCTTTCATTTCTGTTAGAGAACATAAATCTTCGAAGACACTTGCAACCTAAATATAATTAGCTTAGTTTAGACTTAACATATTTTGTTAATTTAAGTGAATAACAAATCGCGGGATCAGATTAGGTTTCTATTTTTATAAACTATCAAAAATATTGGCAATGAGCTCAATATTCTGTGAGCATATATAACTAGCTACTGCCATGCAGGAAGTGATGATATCACAACGGACATTAGCGTATTCACTAACATATATGCAATGAGATCTCACTATGTCTTTAAAAAACCTAAAAAAAAGCATGTTATCATATCCATATATTTATCATGAAAATAGTTATCACCTTATTCGTTTAGCTAATCTTTTCTCAGTACCAAATGTTTGAAGTTTTTTTTTCACTCAACATCTTCTGAGGGGATTCGTTTTAAGACTCTTTTCAAAACATTCTCAAAATTCTCTATCTCCTTTTCGAGAACACATGTCCATTCACCTTGTTCTACTCGTATAAATAATGCTATGAAAATTCTGACAATATCGAGAGGCTCTCTTGTTAAAAGAAACTCTTCTATATTTTAATAGAATAAAAAAGTTAGTGTAAAGCTTACTAGGCGAAATAAAAAAAATGTATGGTAAATTTCAATACCCTTTCACCATACTGCCTTTTTAAATGTCTTGCATTTCCTAATTACGTCCTCTCTAACCTCGCATTCATGTTTGAAAAAGAGATAGGAGAAATATGCAAAGCACTTTATACCAATTTTTTTTTAAGAATAAGGACATGCGGAATGTGCATTAAAGATCTCAATATTACATCATATATACTTTAATGAGTATCAAAAACATACTAATTTATGTCACACACTGTTCTTCTACTATGGCTAGACAGTATATTATTTTATGAATACTATAATATTTGGGATTCCATAGCTATTTTAACATGTCAAGCCAATATGTATCTCTAATAACTATATAGCCTTGCTGATATAATAATTTCTTAACAAGTATGAATGTTGCAAAAGATAATTGTTGCCATAATTGGGCTCTCTTCTTATACATCCAATTATTTCTTACTGGATAACAACATCTCTCATCCTCATAATAAATATATTCTAGTTATTCTGATTCATTTTTTATACCTAAAAACTTCATATCATCAGAAGTACCATCATTTCTCACTGTATCCTAAGCTTGTTTTGCTAAAGATTCGGATCTTTTCTTGTAATTCCTATAAGCTTGCTGGATAACTGTCGCATAGAAATTTTCAAAGCTATAATTATAATAGTATTTAGGAATCAAGAATTCCCAAGATTGCTTCATAGTTTTTTCTGAAATACTTTACTAAAATAGTTATACAGTATATTGGAAAATCTAATCCAAAATAGACAAATTAGATTTTTTATCCTGCAGGTGGTACATTTTAAAATTATACTAAGTGATCATACATTGCAGATTATATATTGTAGCTATTTATTTCGCAAAAAAAATAAAAAATAAGTTATATATTACGCCTTTGGCTAAATAATATTAGTCTATAATTAACAGTTAAACTGGTTAAACAATCATGATTTTTGTCCCATCTCTCAATCTTAATGCGAACTGATTAAGATGGTTTATAGATAGTAGTAAGTTTTTCTGTTTTACATATCGAGATGAGATAAATATTTCACTTGTATTACTCTTGCAATTCAATGATTGATAAGAAGTTAGTGAAATCATTTCTTGCCTGGCAGGTGAAATATAAGCTGGTTCAAAATTTGGAGTACTTGGCATAGTTACTTTAAAACATTCATTATCCCAATGATATTTCATAAAATCTTCAGGTTTGACTTTATAGCCATATCTATGTCATCCATTAAAATATTCCTTTTTTGGCTTTATATTATCAACCTTTATTAACTTCTAACAATCAAAGTAAATAGCCATTTTACTATTATAAACATTAGGTCTGTGATAACTAATTAGAATCTCTTTTCCTGTGTAGTTCTCACGGTATGCCTCAGTTACTCCTTACTCAAATGATCTGAAAAGACAGAATACATGATAATAACTACTATATTTTTCATTAATTAATATTCACAAAGTTGATCTTACTCGATCAGCCCATTGTTGTGGAATTTCATGCAATCTAATTATAGATAAATTATCAAATTTTTTCTGCCTCAAGTGCCTTTTCAAAGTCAAAAGGAGTACTATAGCCAATATATGCATAATAATTTTTAATATACTCCATTTCATAATCAGAGCGAAGATTAGTGGGTTTAGGCATAGATTTATTAAAAATCTTATTTAAGATAATATAAATACATTTATTAAGCCTTGGTCTATTAATATGGATTCCTGACATATTTAACGATTTATAGCATTTTTAGCGAATTCTAGCAATTCTTTAGCAACTTATACTAGATAATATCATCATTCAAATTTATACAGATTTACTGATTAGCGATTAGTTGATTTGTAGCTGATTTATGAGACTACATGCTAATAAATCCTTTATTCGATTATGCCCTTGTTCAGGGTGAAATATTGGTATGATTCGGCTAAATTGGATTCGATTACCATAGACAGCTAAATTATCTTCAGCTAAAATTTATATCACATATGATCTCCCTAGTTCCCTGCCAGTTCCTTGATAGTTCTAGGAATGTTTCAGATGCTAGCGAGTTTCTATAAATCATGAGATGATTAACCCTGTAAAAATTTATATACAAATTATACATGTAGCATATATTGATTAAAAAAATATTAGGAGATTAAAAAAGAAGAAAGCCTGACATAGGAAAACTTTATTTGGTAAGCATATGCAAATAAAGAGTCTAATACATCGGCAGACAAAATAGCCAATAATGAAAGTGAACTATTTATTTTTCCCATTTTGATTTCTCTAGATCAGCGAGGTCACGTGACTGTGGCGCAGTGACTATTGTCTTTCTTTTGGATCTACAGAACAAATATAATGCCAAGCGTAATTATGATCGGGTGGTTGTATGCATATTAGCCATTAATCAGCCGATATCGATATGGCATGATTATGATCAAGTGGTTACATGCATATTAGCTATTAATCAGCCGATATGGCATGATTATGATCAGTTAGTTGTTATGCTGAGAATTTCATTTTATATAAAAATAACCAAGTCCTAAACTCATCATAAGTTTACTATTTAAAATTAACGAAACTAACGAGCACTCAAAAAATGAGTAAGTTTCATTACCTTTATTTATGCCAGGTTTTTATATTTTTGAATGATCAAATAAAGTGAAAAAATAATGGTAGCAATCATACACTAATAAGAATATTTATATTTATAACAGAAATCAAAAAATATATAATCGCTCATCTATGTATGCTTTTTATATTGAAGCTCGTAGTAGCTGGTCCTCCTTACCCTTTTTGTGATAATAAGGATTGCGGTTATAAGTGTTGTGGAAGTGGTTGTTGCAATCGTTATTGTATCGATTCTGTTATTGAGCCAGGTGCTAAATGTCCTTGCCCTAAAGGGTGTATTACTGATATTACTGGGAGAAAGAACTGTGGTGATTCATATGGGCCAACGAACGGGCTAGGTTGATTTACCTGTTACTGTGACTTATACCCTGAGTAATATATAATTTTTATTTAATGTAATTATGGATAAACATTACTTATTGTCTTTACAAAAAAGCATAAGAAACAAAATTCACAATAAATACAGTCCCCGCCAAAAGTAATGGCAGTCAATTTTTATAACTTAAACCATGCGATTTATTAATAAACCCAATTAAAATTTTTTTAAATAAAATTTGAATATCA